TGCATACTTATCAACAATAAGATAACATATAACAGTCTATATTGTATTCCTAAAATAAAAGTCATTATATATCTATACAATAAATAGATCCCAAAATAAATATCATAACACTACCATTCAAATGCCTTCTAATAAACACAATAACATCATATAGTATTATTTTTTAAAATTCCAGCACAAACCAAAAATTACTTGTATAATATCTTCTGAATTCATACCTAAGAAAACACATAGTCACATTAGCAACAAACAAAAAAAAGAAATTTGTGATTTTGCTAAAATGAACCTATCCTATAGATACTATAAAATTGCTAACAAGTTTATTAAATGCTATCCTAATTTGAAAATTGATAGATCAACTATTTCAAAAATCCTAAAAAAAACTGATAAATATCAACAAATTCAAAATGATTTACAAGCTAAAAAAACTTTTCACTATCATTCTGTGAAGTATCTAATATTAGAACTTGCCATAACTATATGGGTAGAATAAATTACAACTGAAGGATTAATTCTATCAGAATCATTAATAAAAGAAAAAGGTTAACAATTTGCACAAGCATTCGACATATCTGAAGAGTCTCTTACATTTTTGAATAGGTAGATTTCTAGGTTTAAAAGATGTAACAGATTAAGAAAAGTTACAATTCATGGTGAGACAAGAAGTACACCCTTAGAAACTTTACCTGCAGAATGTATCAAACTTCAAGAGCTTCTCTCCTGCTATAACTCAGAAGATATATGCAATGCCGATAAAATAGGCTTATTTTACTAATTACTCCCTAATCAAACATTTTCTAAAAAAAAAATTAACTGGAAAAAAGATGGTAAAAAAAAAAAAAAAAAAAAATTAGAAAAATTAGGTTAAATTATTAAAGAATTTAAGGTTTTTTTTCTTTCCTTTTTTAGGACAAAACTAGAGTAACTGTATTGCTTTACTCTAACTCAACGAGCTCTGATAAGTTATGTATACTAGTCATTAGTACCTCCAAAAAACTACGATCTTTTAATGGGATAAATATATCGCAACTACCAGTGACCTATTGCAATAATAAAAAAGCATAGATGAGAACTGATATCTAGAAAAAATAGTTGAAATTTATTGACAAGAGTTTCTGCATTCAAGGTAGACAAGTTTTACTTCTTGTTAATAATGCATCCTCTCATACAGCTCTAGAAACAAGTAATCCAACTGAAGTTCAAGATAATACTGAAGAATCTGCATTAGAAGATAGCTCTGCTGAAGAAACTAAAGAAATTTGAGAACAAACTTAGAAAAGGTCGCAAGAAAGGGTACGAGGAAGAATGCGAGGAAGGATGCAAAGAAGGATGCAAGGAAGGATGCAAGGAAGACTACAAGAAGGAATCTAAAGATCTAATCCTACTAATTCTAGCTGATCCAAACAATTTCAAACAAACTTTGTCTTACGAATATTACTGTACATTTTCTCCTACTACTTACAACTGCCCATCTTTAACCCATAGATGCTAGTATTATTAAAAGCTTCAAATCGAAATACAAAAGTATATATTGTCATTATTTGCTCAATCAATTTAAACAAAATGAAGAACAAAGGTAAGAAGAGTCTGGTAAAATTTAAAAAATTCGCTATATTGAATAGCATTTGAATAATCATACTATTCACTATAGCGAATTTTTTAAATTTATCAGTATTAGTCTTTAGACTATATAAAAATTATGAATTTGCTTTCATAACTCGATCAGATCAAAGTTTAAAAACTTTCAAAAATAATTTTCTATATGTTTTAATAGCCAAGTGAGGTTTTATAAAAAAGTTTTATAAAATTTTTACATATAAAATTTATAGCTATTTTCATAAATTCTGGGTCATCTGGCAAAAAATAG